AGTGTGCGAAGGCGACTACTATTATATAGCCGCAAAATTGAAAATCTTCTGTGATAGTCCGATCGTAATGAGTAATACACCAATCGAAAGGTATTGCAAAAACTTAAAGGATTGCATACCAAGACTTTAAGAAAATCAATTAGCTTGGGAGAGAGAGCGGTGAAAGTGAAAAAGTGAAAATTTCGAAATTTGGAGCTGTTGGGGCCGGTGGGGATAAATGCCCCATCGCAATGTTTTAGTTGTATTCCTTTTGAAAATACCCGTCGAATGAGGGGTCATTTGTCAAAATCCGACGCTCAGTTCAAAAGTTATAGCCAAAATAAGATTTCCTTCTTCTTCCCAAAATGAAAATTTAATTCTGTTTGTCAGTTTGTCAGTTTGTCAGTTTGTCCAAAACATGTTTCTTAAGTTTTGAAAATTTAATATGACGTTCATCCCATCGATATAAAAAACTTTTGTTCTACCACTTTTGGAAAAACTCGCTAGTTTAGCGGGAAAACAGCTATAAATAGCTAAAATTCGGAAAACCGTAACTTCTATACTACTAAAGCTACAGACTTGTGCTGCATCTTGTTTGAAAGGTATTTTTAAATGCTATAAACGCCTTCTATATGCAATTTGTGTAAATGTAATAATTAAAAAGATATGAACAAAAGACAATTTTTTAAAACTTTTTTTTTAGCTTTTTTTTATTTTTCTCAAAAACGGCTCTAACGATTTCCTTGAAAACTTTAAACTGTATACCCCTTGAGATTCCTTAAATTTTGGTATATAACACATTACTGTAAAAAGTCACGTTTAAAAGTTATTTTTATACGAAAATAGCCACTTTTGGCAGCTCGAACAACTAAAGCTTCCTGAGTATTGAATTTTGTGTGAGGGTATCCGAACTGTATTTTAGGGTCATGGAAAAAGCCGCTACTTTAGCGGGAAAAAAGCTAAAAATGGCTAAATTTCGTTAGTTTGTAAGTTCTACACTACTAAAGGTACAGACATGTGCCATACCTCGTTTAAAAGGTATTTTGAAATACTTTTTAACTTCATTTGTTTAAATACAATGGCTTACAAATTATGATTGACCAATTTAAATTTAAATGTATATATTAGCTCCTATGAGAGCAAATGTAAACAAACAAAAACTTCTGATATCAAATAAAAACACCTCTTAACGAGGTAAAAAACTAGTGACGATCGCACCTTCAACATACAAAAGTTCTGATATCAACATTTGTGACGAAAAATTATTACACTCGTCATTAAATAGACTTTCTAATATTTTTTCATTCGGCACGCTGCAATAGAAAATGCCTGTGAAGGGAAAAAGGCTGGAATAGTCTGCTAGGGCAGGCCGAATGAGAAAATATTAGAAAGTCTATTTAATGACGAGTGTAATAATTTTTCGTCACAAATGTTGATATCAGAACTTTTGTATGTTGAAGGTGCGATCGTCACTAGTTTTTTACCTCGTTAAGAGGTGTTTTTATTTGATAAAGTTTATAGTCATAAGGCTGGATTGATTCAATATGTACCCTTATCTTAATTTCAAGGCATACCGTGTGCCTTGCTCTAAAAAAATAAACAAGAGAGAACGCTATAGTCGGGTTCGTGTCCCGACTATCTAATACCCGTCACTCAGCTAAAGGGAGTGCGAACGCTGTACTCGGGTTGGTGTTCCGACTAATAACACCAGTTTACAAAAAAAAATCGATGAAATATACCATGAATAAAACCTTTGTTTTCCGGTAAGGTACGTCTTCCTGATTAAGAAAATGGCACATACAATTTTTTTTATGGATACAATTTTTTTTAAAGTGTAAAAAACGTTATTGACATTTTTTTAATTTCTAACTTTAGTTGTGGTTAACCGATTTCAACCATAAATGACTCATTTTACAGGTAATATAATGGCCTCCAACTTTCTTATACTCTGCATTGAGTTCCATTCCTTAATTTAGAAGCTACATTTTGTCAAAGTTGAAAAAGTTAGAAAAAATGCAAAAATGCTGGCATAAATGGCTTCGTTAAAAATACACGCCTAAAAACCGAAATTATTTTTATCACTATGGACGGCAGTCCATGTAGTGACGAAGCGCACCAGGAGAGTGTGCGAAGGCGACTACTATATATACACGAAGAAATGAAAATCTACTGTGATGGTCCGATCATAATGAATGATACACCTATCGAAAGGTATTGCGAAAACTAACAGGATTGCATACCAAGACTCTAAGAAAATTAATTGGCTTGGGAGAGAGAGCGGTGAAAGTGAAAAAGTGAAAATTTCAAAATTTGGAGCTGTTGGGGCCGGTGGGGATAAATGCCCCCTCGAAATGTTTTAGTTGTATTCCTTTTGAAAATACCCGTCGAATGAGGGGTCATTTGTCAAAATCCGACGCTCCGTTCAAAAGTTATAGCCAAAATAAGATTTTCTTCTTCTTCCCAAAATGAAAATTTAATTCTGTTTGTCAGTTTGTCAGTTTGTCAGTTTGTCCAAAACATGTTTTTTAAGTTTTGAAAATTTGATATGACGTTCATCACATCGATATGAAAAACTTTTGTTCTACCACTTTTGGAAAAACTCGCTAGTTTAGCGGGAAAACAGCTATAAGTAGCTAAAATTCGGAAAGCCGTAACTTCTATACTACTAAAGCTACAGGCTTGTGCTGCATCTCGTTTGAAAGGTATTTTTAAATGCTATAAACGCCTTCTATATGCAATTTGTGTAAATGTAATACTTAAAAAAATATGAACAAAAGACAATTTTTTAAAACTTTTTTTTAGCTTTTTTTATTTTTCTCAAAAACGGCTCTAACGATTTTCTTTAAAACCTTAAACTGTATAGCCCTTGAGATTCCTTAAATTTTGGTATATAAGACATTACTGTAAAAAGTCACGTTTAAAAGTTATTTTTATTCGAAAATGGCCACTTTTGCCAGCTCGAACAATTAACGCTCCCTGAGTATTGAATTTTGTGGGAGGGTATCCGAACTGTATTTTAGGGTCATGGAATCAGTAAATTTGCACTTAAGAGTTCCATATAGGAATCTTTTGTTCTACGACTTTTGGAAAAAGCCGCTACTTTAGCGGGAAAAAGCTAAAAATAGCTAAATTTCGTTAGTTTGTAAGTTCTACATGTGCTATACCTCGATTAAAAGGTATTTTGAAATACTTCAACGCATTTTTAACTTAATTTGTTAAAATACAATAGTTTAAAAATTATGATTGACCAATTTAAATTTAAATGTATATATTAGCTCCTATGAGAGCAAATGTAAACAAACAAAAACTTCTGATATCAAATAAAAACACCTCTTAACGAGGTAAAAAACTAGTGACGACCGCACCTTCAACATACAAAAGTTCTGATATCAACATTTGTGACAAAAAATTATTACACTCGTCATTAAATTGACTTTCTAATCTTTTCTCATTCGTCACGCTGCGATAGAAAATGCCTGTAAAGGGAAAAAGGCTGGAATAGTTTGCTAGGGCGGGCCGAATGAGAAAAGATTAGAAAGTCAATTTAATGACGAGTGTAATAATTTTTTGTCACAAATGTTGATATCAGAACTTTTGTATGTTGAAGGTGCGGTCGTCACTAGTTTTTTACCTCGTTAAGAGGTGTTTTTATTTGATAACTTCTACTGGTAGAAGGTGCTTTGACAAAGAAAACAAGCTATTGATCAATACAATCCACCAGCAAATTAATTTGATATGCATTTTTGAAGCTTGCGACAACGGTGTTTTTTTGGCCGTTTACAGCTGTTAACTGACACAACAGGGCTCTAACAGAGCTGTAATACCCCGTTTTCCCATCGTAAAAAATCGATATAAAATCGAACTATTGATTGATTTTTTTGTTGATGGTCTTGTTAGTTGACTAAAAGATGTATCTTTAAGTATAAGTCATAAAACTAATTTCGGTTTTTAGGCGTGTATTTTTAACGATGCCATTTATGCCAGCATTTTTGAATTTTTTCTCACTTTTACAACTTTGACGAAGTGTAGCTTCTAAACTAATGAATGGATCTCAATGCAGTGTATAAGAAGTTGGAGGGCATTCTATTACCTGTAAAATGAGTCATTTATGGTTGAAATCGGTTAACCATAACTCAAGATAGAAATTAAAAAAGTGTCAAAAACGTTTTTTACACTTTAAAAAAAATTTTACCCATAAAAAAAATTTTAGTTGCCATTTTCTTAATCAGGAAGACGTACCTTACCGGAAAACAATAGTTTCATTCATGGTATATTTCATCGATTTTTTTTTGTAAACTGATGTAATCGTAACTCAGCTAAAGGGAGTGCAAGGGAGATAGGTATAGAAATTTTGATTGCGTATAACTTTTAAATGAATGGTCCGATTTGAAAAATGTCTTCTACATTTCGATAGGTATAAATATGCACAACAAAATTCCATTTTTACTTTTCGGAAATCTTTAAAGGTGTGGGCGCCACAAACATTTTAAAATCGTTAGTGGGCGATTGTGGGCGTTAGAGGGGGCGTGGCAATCAGCTGAAATAAAGTTGCGCTGCGTAGGAAGCCCAAGAATATGTGTGGAAAATCTCCACCTTCTAGCCTTTGTAGACTCCGAGATCTCAGCGTTCATACAGACGGACAGACGGTCATGGCTAGTTCGACTCTTCTAGTGACCCTGATCTATATATTCTTGATCAGGGTCTATATATTCTTGATCAGGGTCACTAGAAGAGTCGAACTAGCCATGTCCGACTGTCCGTCTGTATGAACGCTGAGATCTCGGGGGTCGGAAACGCTTCCTTCTAGCTGTTACATACTTTTGCACGAATACAATATACCCTTTTACTCTACGAGTAACGGGTGTAATTAAATTAAAAAATTCAAAAATAATAAATTTAATTGCTTACAATAAGAATACTTATTAGAAATAATTACACAACTGACTAAGATATATTCTATTTTTAATATTTACCGTCATTCTGTATTTAAAAATATTAAATTTCTTTTGTGTTATATTTAGGGCTTGCCAGGTATGCACTCCAAACGCTACAAACACGGTTTGGAGTCATTGTCAGTGTGTCTTAGCTGACGGAGTTGAGCGCGGAATTCTGACTGCAAATCGAATGATACCCGGCCCTAGCATTCAAGTATGCGAAAACGATAAGGTTGTCATTGACGTAGAGAACCACATGGAGGGAATGGAAGTAACTATACACTGGCACGGCATATGGCAGCGTGGTTCTCAGTATTACGATGGCGTTCCCTTCGTTACCCAGTGTCCCATTCAGCAGGGTAATACTTTCCGTTATCAGTGGACAGGAAACGCGGGGACGCACTTTTGGCACGCTCACACTGGTCTACAGAAACTAGATGGACTTTACGGTAGCGTCGTTGTTCGCCAGCCACCTTCACGGGATCCTAACTCTCACTTATATGATTTCGATTTAACAACCCACATAATGCTTATCAGTGACTGGTTGCATGAAGATGCTGCTGAACGGTATCCCGGACGTCTTGCAGTTAACACAGGGCAAGATCCTGAATCCATGTTGATCAACGGAAAGGGCCAATTTCGTGACCCCAATACCGGCTTCATGACTAATACACCATTGGAAATATTTACAATTACACCAGGCCGTCGTTATCGCTTCCGGATGATAAATGCATTTGCTTCAGTCTGTCCAGCACAAGTTACGATCGAGGGTCACGGGATGACGGTGATAGCAACCGATGGTGAACCTGTGCATCCTGTTGATGTCAACACAATCATTTCATTTTCAGGTATGTCTCATTTTCTAACAAATAATTTAAATACTCTTTGCTTGATTTTTAACAACAGATCGTTACGGGTATTTCGGTAATACTCTAAATTAGGAAATATGATAATTCGATAAAATTATCCTCGATGGACCGGTATTTCTAAAGAATTTACATTAAAAAAGAACTTGGTGGTGAGGGGGACAGAATAGTTTGTGGCCCTAGAGGCCAAACAGCTCGTATAAATTCCCCGCCTTTTTACTGAGAGTTCCTTAGAACGCTTGAGACATTCCTTGTAAGATTAAAATAGTTGAGGGTACTATATGATAACAGATGGTCTTTATTTTATTTTGTATGACTGCTGCAGGTTGGTAGAACTATTTGTCATACACACAACAAACAAAATTTTAATTTTCTACCAATCCATTTTTTTGGCGCGATAAAATGATTGTGGTGAAACGAATTTCTAGTGGTAGGCGGAAGGTGTAGCAGTCCACTCTACAAAAAAATATAACATTTTTTGTACCTTTCCTAACTTTTTTGACTGTATCCTGCCCGTCCTTTCTATAAGTTGGTAAAACTGGCCCAAAATATGCAACAAACAAATTTCAAAGTATGCCAAAATATTTAAAGTACACTATAGACAATAATGGCTAGCATTTCAAATGTCAAATAAATTTTATTTTCTTAATAAATTTTGTGATTTTTAGTATAAAAAGGAAAAAACCGAATATTAATATTGCCTTAATTTTCGTTTTTTTTTTTTGTTTATATTTTTATACCCTTGCAGAGGGTATTATGATTTCAGTCAGAAGTTTGCAACGCAGTGAAGGAGACGTTTCCGACCCCATAAAGTATATATATTCTTGATCAGCATCACAAGACGAGTCGATCTAGCCATGTCCGTCTGTCCGTCTGTCCGTCCGTCTGTCCGTCCGTTTCTACGCAAACTAGTCTCTCAGTTTTCAAGCTATCGGGATAAAACTTTCCCAAAAGTCTTCTTTCTATTGCAGGTAGTATATAAGTCGGAACGAGCCGGATCGGACAACTATATCATATAGCTCTCATAGGAACAATCGGGAAAAAAAATGTAAAAAAATTATATCTTGGGTTTTTTTAAACCTATAACATCCTACTTTTGGAAATGTCATTTTTTATCTAATTCTGAATTTCGAATAACATTTTTTCAAAATCGGACGACTATATCATATAGCTGCCATAGGAACGATCGGAAAATTAATGGAAATATAATAGGAAATAAATTATTGCTTCGTTGGTTTGTATTGTATTCTCTTCTACTCTAGGATGTAACTCTTTTCAAATATTTTCGAGTTTCGATTTTAATTTTATTAAAATCGAACTACTATATCATATAGCTGCCATTGAAACAAACGCAAAGTTAATGAGAAATAATAGGAAAATTAACATTTTTGCGATTTGTAAATTAATAGGAATTATCTGCAAGGGTATATAAGCTTCAGCTGGCCGAGGCTAGCTTCCTTTCTTGTTTTAAATTGAAAAAGAAAGTATAAACATATATTAGGATGTCAGAAAAGTCCTGCGGTATTTTTGTTATATTATTTTTTACACTTTTTTTTACATCGAGCTTTTAAGGCCTAGTACTCAACCCAACAAAAAGTCGCCCAAACAAAAAACTTCATATTCCGTATTTTGCGACGAACGACTTAAAATAAACAAATAAACAACTTAACAAAAATTTTAACAAACACGTGTTAGCGCGTGAAATGAGCTTTCCAAAAAGGTGTTTTATGACCAGATGCGACGAATAAAACAAGAACTACGCGCTTTCAGCACCAACTAGCGAAAATACCGTAAGACTTTTTTGACAACCTATTATATACCTATGAAAAGGTAATAAAAAAAACTTATTTCTGCATTATTAAATTTTTGGTTTCATTAGTTTCAAACCTTTAATTCACTTTTGAAGATGAAAACAAGAGAGAACGCTATAGTCGGGTTGGTGTCCCGACTATCTAATACCCGTCACTCAGCTAAAGGGAGTGCGAACGGTGTACTCGGGTTGGTGTCTCGACAATCTAATGTGCGAGGGAGATAGATTTATAAACAACTTTTTAATGAATGGTTCGATTTGAAAAATGTCTTCAACATAGCGTTCTGACATTCAAATCGGACCATTCATTAGCTGAGAAAATATTGCTCTAATCAATGAGCCGAACGAATTTCTAGTGGTAGGCGAAGGGTCCACCAGTCCACTCTACAAAAAAAATAACATTTTTTGTACCTTTGCTAACTATTTTGACTGTATCCTGCCATCCTTTCTTTGCATGTATGCCAAAATATTTAAAGTACACGATAGACAATACTGGCTAGCATTTCAAATGTCAAATAAAGACAGACAGACAGCCATTTTTCAAATCGGACCATTCATTAGCTGCGAAAATAGTGCTCTAATGAAAGAGCCGATCAATGTAGTGGAATAACCGCATAACACGGGAAATGTTCTTTACCAGAAAATGAAGGTGGTCTTCAATTAGGGTTTTTTTTTTAACTGGTGTTACGTAACACATTTCACACTGTATGTTATAAATTATTTGTATTATAGGTGAGCGTTACGATTTCGTAATAACCGCGGATCAACCTGTTGGAGCTTATTGGATACAACTACGTGGACTTGGTGAGTGCGGTATTCGTCGAGCTCAGCAACTGGCTATCCTACGGTACGCCCGAGGACCTTATCAGCCGGTCTCTTCGCCGCCAACATACGATGTAGGAATACCGCAAGGTGTGGTAAGTGTCTGTTGAGCTAAAAATATCACTATTAAAGTTCATTTTAAAAAATAATACAATTAAAGTACAGTAAATAATACATTATTTTAATCGGTCTTCATTTTCTAAGCTTGCCGTACAAAAACATATCACCAAAAAACACAAACACCGTATTTTTTAAAAATTTAATAATTTATTTATGTATATACTTGTGTTTTATTTACAAGGCCACCTAACATTTTTTTTTAATAATGTGTAAAAAAAAGTTCATGGCCTGATTTTTGGGCCTATTTTAATTAGTTTTCTTTGTAAGAGATTTCTGTGAAATTACTGAATATTATTGATTTGAATGTTCATGTCACTCAGGCAGATGAGGGTTTATCGCGTAGACTTTCGCCTAGAAGATGTTGCTATAGTCTTATTGAGCCAGCGAAAATCGTGCACCAAAGCGGAAGCATGGCAAATCAGTGCCACCGATCAAAATTTGGAATCGATTTCATTTGCGCATAACTTTTAGCTTTAAACATGACGGAACAATGAATTTTGAATTTAAATTTGTATTTTTTTTGTTCATTTGCTGAGTGTACACAACTGACAGCCGTTTCCACGCGCAATAGTCTCCCACTTTAAAATCTATGGCGAAGAAACTTTTCCAAAAGTCGTCTTTTTACTGCAGTAAGTAAATATATCGAATCGAGCCACTATATCTGACATGAACTCTAGTTTGCAAGATACAGATTTATAAATTGTTATATTTACACACAAAAAAATTTGCTTGGTAAAATTGACCAACAAAGATAGTTACGTAACTATTAAAATAGTTACGTGTATTTTGTTTTTGCTTTGGGTTTGTGTCTTTGCTAATTGTGTGTATTTTGTTGTTGTGAAATGACTATTTACTTAGTAGAATTGACAATTTTGCTGGTTGGGGCCTGTTTGACAATTATTACAGTTGATTTTACCAAGTTTTTTTTTTGTGTGTACCATAAAGTAGTTCGGTTTTGTTGATTTTTTTTATTAAACCATGCCTTTAATTTAATTTTATTGTTTTAATATATATTGATTCTAAAGAGCCAACAAAGTCACAAGCAACTTGTCAAGTATTAACATACTTAAATTGTATGGTGTTTTCTTAAAACTGATTTGTTGTAAATACATTTTCAAAAAGGATAACAGTTTTTAAATCTCCAAATTTATTACATTGTATATGAAAATCTATCTTTTTATCTGATCAATGTTGTTATGCGAATTATATTTTATTAAAACCACAATCCCATATTATGTATATTTCTCTATAACTTTCTATATTTTCAAAATGTACATTACCACCGAAACCTCTTAAACTTTGATTACCTGCACATGTACATAAAAAACACATAATACTGTGATATTTTACGACCGACAAAAACGTACCAAACTATTAAAAAGGTCATGAATCCTTTGGACGCTCAATGCAACCGACAACGAAACGATGCCATATGCGTAAGCCAACTTAAAAACGCTATCGAGATTGATCGTGGTATATTGGCAGAGAAGCCAGACGTGAAGATTTTCCTACCGTTCCGTTTCTTCGTATATAGAGCTGAAGATCTTTTCCAGCCAAACACATATAACAGATTTTTAGGTATGTAATACGAACAGTTTTTTTTGTAATAAAATCATTTAAAAGAAATATTTTAGTGGCACCCACCGGAGACCATGTAATTTCACTTATCGATGAAATATCGTACCTATCGGCGCCAGCGCCACTGACATCGCAGTATAATGATATCAACCCAGAACAATTTTGTAACGGAGACAATCGTCCCGCAGACTGTGGACCAAACTGCATGTGCACTCATAAGATTGACATTCCACTCAACGCTATTGTGGAAGTGGTTTTAGTCGATGAAGGTAAGCGTTATTTTTATCCGCTACTTGTCCTAAGAGACCAGCATGAATCAACTGTGTGAAAGTCAATTATTTCTTTTAAAAGCCTGTTTAAAACTCCCTACAAAACTTCTTTCAAACGTCTTCCTAATATTCTATAGAAATTTGTATACTCTTACATAGGGTGTTTTAATTTCAGTCAGAAGTTTTCCGTAAAGTAAAGTATTTATTCTTGATCAGCACCAACAGCCGAGTCCATCTTTTCATCTGTCCGTTTATACGCAAACTAGAACACGTCGGGATTAAATTGATCGTCTCAAAGTATCAGCATCTCAAATTGAGATGCTGCATATGAAGTCCAAATTGATACCAGATAATATTAAATTGATCATCGTTTCATGTCTTCTCACAATTTAGAAACTTGACATACAGAGTGGTCCACAAAAGATTTGCGTTTTAAAATCGCTATAAAAAACAGCGAGGATATATTTTTTCAAACATATTTTTATTATAATATTTAGTTCATATAGCTGCCTCGGCTAGCTTTACACTAGCCCATTCGGTCGACCCAATTTTTAAGCACAAAAATCGTGTTTTCTAATAAGGCCCATTTCCACCTCGGTGGTTATGTTTATAAGCAAAACTGTCGCATTTGAAGTTCAGAAAATCCACACGTCGTCTTGGAAAAGCCAATGTATCCACAACAAGTGACTGTTTGGTGTGGTCGGTTGGCATTAATGGCCCGTTTTTCTTTGAAAACGAGGAAGGAGCCGCCGTAAGCGTTAATGGTGTCCGCTATCGCGGCATGTTAGAGGAAGATATAGACGAAATATGGTTCCAGCAGGACGGCGCTGCGCCACACAGCCAACCTCACAATCGATCTTTCGCGCGGTACGTTCGAAAATCGCATAACACCAGTTTTCAACATAAAACCGACCTCTTTCTCATCAAATACAACCTTCATTTTCCGGGTAGGTACCTCTCCCTGATTAAGAAATGGGCACTTAAAATGTTTTGTATGACGTCAATTTTTTTTAAAGTGTAATAAAGGGTATTGTCTCAGTTAAAAGCTGTAAATGGCCAAAAAATCTTCGTTGTCCCAAGCTATAAATATTCATGTTAAATTAATTTCCTGGTGGACTCTAATGATCATTAGCTTGTTATACCCTTGCAGAGGGTATTATGATTTCAGTCAGAAGTTTGCAACGCAGTGAAGGAGACGTTTCCGATACCATAAAGTATATATATTCTTGATCAGCATCACAAGACGAGTCGATCTAGCCATGTCCGTCTGTCCGTCTGTCCGTCCGTCTGTCCGTCTGTCCGTCTGTCTGTTTCTACGCAAACTAGTCTCTCAGTTTTTGAGCTATCGGGACGAAACTTTCGCAAAAGTCTTCTTTCTATTGCAGGTAGTATATATGTCGGAGCCGACCGGATCGGACAACTATATCTTATAGCTCCCATAGGAAGGATCGGAAAATTAATGGAAAAGTAATAGGAAATAAATTCTAGCTTCTTTGGTTTTTATTGTATTATCTTCTACTCTAGGGTATGACTCTTTTTAAATATATTCGAATTTCAATTTTAATTTGATCAAAATCGGACGACTATATCATATAGCTGCCATAGGAACGATCGGAAAATTAATGAGAAATATTAGAAAATTGAACATTTTTGCGATTTGTTAATTAATAGGAATGATCTGCAAGCGTATATAAGCTTCGGCTGGCCGAAGCTAGCTTCCTTTCTTGTTTTTTTTTGTTAAAGTGTCATCTACCAGAAGATGTTGTGAAACTAATTTTGGTTTTCAGGCGTGTATTTTTAACGAAGTCATTTATCCCAGAGCTTTTGCATTTATTTCTACTTTTTTAACTTTGACTAGGTGTAGCTTGTAAACTAATAACTGGAACTCAATGCTGTGTATAAGAAAGTTAACAAGAAAGGAAGCTAGCTTCGGCCAGCCGAAGCTTATATACCCTTGCAGATAAAGCAAACACCTATAGTTTAATGCTCACTCAGTGCGGTTCCAGGGATAATTTTGTTTTTAAGTTGTCAAAAATCAAAACGCCTACTTCCTACAAAGTTAAAATTACTTTTCTTATATTTGTTTGAATATTCCTATGGGGGCCTTAAGATATAGTGGTCCGATCCGGCTCGCTCCGACATATGTACTACCTGCAATAGAAAGAAGACTTTCGGGAAAGTTTCATCGCGATAGCTTTTAAACTGAAAGACTAGTTCGCATAGAAACGGACAGACGGACAGACGGACAGACGGATAGACGGACATGGCTAAATAGACTCGGCTATTGGTGCTGATCAAGAATATATATACTTTATGTGGTCGGAAACGTCTCCTTTACTGCGTTGCAAACATCTGACTGAAATTATAATACCCTCTGCAAGGGTATAAAAACAAAACAAACAAACAACAAAGTTAAAAAAAAAACAGGTTATCAGAACTCAAGATAGAAAATAACAAGAAAGGAAGCTAGCCGAAGCTTATATACCCTTGCAGATAAGGGTAAATTTCGTATTATTTTGACATTATTATACCCGTTACTCGTAGAGTAAAAGAGTATATTGTATTCGTGCAAAAGTATGTAACAGCTAGAAGGAATCATTTCCGACCCTATAAAGTATAAATATTCTTGATCAGGGTCATTAGGGGAGTTGATCTAGCCATGTCCGTCTGTCCGTCCGTATGAACGCTGAGATCTCGGAAACTACAAAAGCTAGAAGGTTAAGATTATGCACACATATTCTTAACGATTTTAAAATGTGTCCTGCGCCCACATCTTAAGAGATTTCCGAGAAGTATAAATGCAATTTTGTTGTGTATAGGGGAGAGGTCTGTAGGTTGGTACACCTTTTGTTTTTAATCTGCCATTTCGACATTCACTTATGAAACTTTACGCATTTGGTACTGATCGAAAGGTTAGTCTATTAGCTTAATAAAAAACAAAAAAAAATTTTTTTTTCCTTAGGGAAAACTGAAAAATTATTTTTTTTTGAAAAAGAGGTCTGTAAGTTGAGACACTTTTAAAAGTCAATAATACTTACACAAAAAGTACTCCAAACTATAAGGAACTATTTATTTATGTTAATTTAATCAATTTTAGTTCGTCCTAAATTATTTCCCATCCATTTTTTAAGAACTTAGACCAAATAACAATTAAAATCAAAAGGCTCTTTGAACATTCACTTTTCCCCTAATATCAAAGAAATGTACTAGGCAGAAAGCGACCTCTGTTGGCCTAAGGCCTTTTTGTATGAAAAACGGGTGTCTCAACTTACACGCTTAAAGTGTCACAACTTACACAAAATGGGATGTTTCGGGAAAAAATTAATAACTTTTGTTTTGACTGTCACATTAAGCTGATTATACCCGTTACTCGTAGAGTAAAAGGGTATATTGTATTCGTGCAAAAGTATGTAACAGCTAAAAGGAAGCGTTTCCGACCTCATAAAGTATATATATTCTTGATCAGGATCACTAGCCGAGTCGATCTAGCGATGTCCGTCTGTCCGTCAGTCTGTCCGTCTGTCTGTCTTTCTGTCTGTCTGTCTGTCCGTATGAACGCTGAGATCTCGGAAATTATAAAAGCTAGAATATTGGCATTTTGCATGAATATTCTAGGAGATCCTACGCAGCGTAAATTTGTTTCAAAAAGGTGCCACACCCCCTCTAACGCCCACAAGCCCCCTTTAACGCCCACAGTTTTGAAGCTATTATGAAAATAGTAACTGATATGTATTTGCTTCGTCAATACCTATCGATTGGCCAAGTAAAAAATTCTTGATCAGAGTCAATAGCCGAGTCGATATAGCCATGTCTGTCTGTCTGTCTGTCTGTCTGCCTGTCTGTCTGTCTGTCTGTCTGTCTGTCTGTCTGTCTGTCTGTCTGTCTGTCTGTCCGTCCGTATGAACGCTGAGATCTCGAAAACTACAAAAGCTAGAAGGTTGAGATTTTCCACACATATTCTTGGGCTTTCTATGCAGCGCAAGTTTATTTCAGCCGAGTGCCACGCCCCCTCTAACGCCCACAATCGCCCACTAACGATTTTAAAATGTGTCTGGCGGCCACACCTTTAAAGATTTCCGAGAAGTATAAATGCAAGTTTGTTGTGAAAAACTCAAAGTGGTACAAAATCAAGATTTTTACACAAAATAGAGCTTGGGAAGAGTGAAAAGAGAAGCCCATTATAAAAATTAAAATCCAATTTTTCCCAATTTTTTTTTTTCAACTTTATGGGGGGACATCTAGGTAACTGGGGGAAAAAAACGGATTTTCTGGATTTTTTTTGGCCAAATGAAGAAGCCAATCGAAAATTTGTAAACTACGTTATATTAAATTTGGTCCGAAGTACAAAATAAAATTTTTTTCGAATAAATCGAAAACAAAATGGCGGCTGTGCAGCATTTCTTTGTAGGCCCTTTTTTGTTGAAGGGGGTCCATGGCCGGACACCTAACGTCCTTAATTTTTGATCTAAAAAAAAAATAAAATTGGTTAGTTTCTATACATCAACAGCTATCGACGGACGTAGGATTTTTTCGATATATTGATTACATTTTAACATTTTTTCGAATAAAAAACGTCACAAAATTGTTGATAAAAAAAAGTAAGCAAAATAAAAAAAAAATCCTGCGTCCGTCGATAAACATAGGTATTTTGAATATACTGTCAAAAATATCGATCGATCGTTTAAGATTTGTTCGAGTTATGTGTCCGGCCACCTCAAAAAAAGTAGTTTCGAGAAAAACGCGTTTAAAGTTTTAAGGTGCCCGGGATATACCTGTGAGGCATCGCCGCAGAATGGAAAATTTAGACACTTAGACACTTCTGACGGACTCTATTTTTTGCTCTCTTGGCATTCGCTCTGGGTTTCCCTCTCTCGGCAGGCTCCCGCAAAATGTAATACAAAATTAATTCTTTAAAATAACTTAAAAAATGTTAAAAACTAAAAATAAAACATACGCATTTGGACCATAGAAGTAACTACTGATCCAAAATTCATCTTGATCGAAGCAGCGGCTTAGATTTCTAAAATCCAAAAGTTAATTTTAAATGTAGCCCACAAATTATGGGGGAACTCTAAATTTTTTTTTTGTTTCTAATTAGGACTTTTCAAAACCTTAAATTCGGTAAAATCATATTTTCGAAATTCCAACCCCTTGAGAAGTTTACATTAAATAGATTTTTTTTTTTTTTGTTCCTTTCTTTTTATAATCTTAAGAGCTAAGGTAGGAAACGTCTGCTTCACTGTGTTGCAAACTTCTGTCTAAAATAAAAATATCATCTGCAATCGTATTTATTTGCCTGGTCGGTCATCGGAGCGACAAATCAAAAACGGGTTTCGGAAACGGTAGACCACTCTGATCGCTGACTGTAGTTGGTTCTTTTATAAGCCAAACGGATTTTTCAAAAAAAAAAAAAAAGAGAACGCTATAGTCAGGTGCCCCGCCTATCCGATACCCGTTACTAAGCTAAAGGGAGTGCGAGGGAGATGGAGATATACAACTTTAATCGGGCATAACTTTTTAACGAATGGTCCGATTTGAAAAATGTCTTCTACATTTCGATAGGTATAAACAAACGCAAAATATACTTTTCCGAAATCATTCAAAATGTAAGCGCTAGAGACATTTTAAAATCGTTTGTAGGTGCTAGAGGGGCTGTGGTACTCGGCTGAAATAAACTTGCGCTGCGTAGGAAGCCCAAGAATATGTGTAGCTAATCCCAACTTTTTATCTTTTGTAGTTTCCGAGATCTCAGCGTTCATACGGACGGACAGACAGATACACAGACAGACGGACAGACAGACATGGCTATATCGACTCGGCTATTGACTCTGATCAAGAATATATACACTTTATAGGGTCGGAAAAGCTTCCTTCTCCCTTTTTACGTACTTTTGCACGAATACAATATACCCTTTAACTCTACGAGTAAGGGGTATAAAAATTTACATTATTAACAAAAAAAATGTACAATTTTAAAAAATATTTATTTCCCGACAAAAAAATTGTTTTATTCTAAAACATGCAAAAGTTTGTTTAATAAAATCGGCTTTTTCGGAGCCATTTTTTCCCAACCTATAGAATTTTGTTTGATTTATTCTATGACAACTGTTTTCGACAAGAAAATGCTATACATCCGATTAAGACAAATTAGAAAACTTTATTCATTTCATTTTTGCTGGAATTGGTTTGATCGTCAGATGGCTATGGCGGCTCGCCTGGTCGATCTTGCGCATTCCTCGGCCGAATAATCGTGAGAACACCGATGAATCATTTTGAAAACAACGATGAACATCGACGTCCAATCCAATCTCTGCATCCTACAGATCTCACTTTGGATCTCACTTTTGATCTTGAGCAGGGTGTAAAGCCCACGGTTATCTCGCGCCCACGCACTCGATTAAATCCTTGCTCTTGTATTCTCGTACTGAATGAACTGCGCCGTTTCTTTCATAGGCTGTGGCGGTCCCGTTATTTCCCTTTTTTCACACGGCTCGCATCGGGTCCAAGGTCTATAGATGTCCCGTTAATTCACGGTGCACCCTCCTTGGGCATGTCCAAAGACCACACATTTACCGTTCCACCTTTTGCCCTTTTGGCGGCGAGGGCCCAAGGTTCCGCGCGGAACCGTTATTTCACGGTCTCTCCACTTTGGCCGAGTTCAAGGTCCAGTAATTACCAGTAGACCTGAATGCCCTTGGATTCTGCCGAATTCTAGCAGCCTTCACTGTTGTTTTAAGAGTTTTAAGACTCCTTACAGAGAACACGTCGCAGCAAGTATTGCATCTCGTTTACACTTTGTAGATAATGCGGTGCTTAATAGTCCTTTAACAATTTCTGAGTTTTTTAAGCCTTCTTTGACAATTTTTGCATGACATATTTTATAAACAGAAACCAATTTAAAAAACATAAAATTAAATAAATTAAAAAAAATTGATATAAAAGAAAATACATAAAAAAAGCCTGTGATTGAAAATTTTGTTTATCAATACCATTAAAGGTTAAATTAAGTGCTTTTTTGAACTGCTTACAAACATATAAAATGCCTAAGTTGGAACAAATTAAAAAAAGTTTTAATAAACTTGAAATACAACAAGAAAGGAAGCTACCTTTGGCCAGTCGAAGCTTATATACCCTTGCAGATAAAAGAATGCTCACTCGGTGCAGTTCCAGGGATTCCAGATTCAGCGTTTCTTTTTATTTAAATTTTGTTTTTAGGTAGTCAAGAATCAAAAAGCCCACTTCCTACAAAGTTACAATGAATTTTCTTATATTTGTTTGAATATTCCTATGGGAGCCTTAAGATATAGTGGTCCGATCCGGCTCGCTCCGACATACATATGTACTACCTGCAATAGAAAGAAGACTTTCGGGAAAGTTTCATCGCGATAGCTTTTAAACTGAAAGACTAGTTCGCATAGAAACGGACAGACGGACAGACAGACAGACAGACAGACAGACAGACGGACATGGCTAGATAGACTCGGCTATTGGTTCTGATCAAGAATATATATACTTTATGTGGTCGGAAACATCTCCTTCACTGCGTTGCAAACATCTGACTTAAATTATAATACCCTCTACAAGAGTATACAAATATGACTGACTTAATGATTATTCTTTTATGCAGTCCAGCAGCCCAACTTGTCGCATCCTTTTCATTTGCACGGGTACGGGTTTAGCGTCATTGGAATTGGACGATCCCCGGATTCATCAGTGAAGAAGATCAATTTAAAGCACGCATTGGACCTTGACAGGCGCGGACTTTTACACCGACAATATAATTTGCCACCGACTAAGGATACGATTGCAGTACCTAACAACGGCTATGTTGTGCTGCGTTTTAGGGCTGACAATCCAGGTATGTTAAAAAATAATTTAATATTTGGGTCTTCTCTGAAAAACCAGCCCCTTACAATATTTTTCTTAAATTTTTTTCGGAATTTGTTAAATGCTAGTAAAAATCTCTTTGTATGAATAACTTTCCAAATTTTAAGAAAAAAGTTTTAAAAAAATCTAAAAAAATGGTGGTCATAAGAAAAAAGTAAAGGAAATGACTTTTTTTGTTTAATTAATAAAAAAAAATTGGAAACAAGTTGATTCGAAGATCTACCTGAGCAATACAAATTTTTTTGCGGTAAAAAAAATTTTCCTTAGCTGAGTAGATTGGTCCTAAAATAAAGATAACAAATTAAAAATAAAAATAATATCATTTTTAATGTATGTATAATGTTTAAACATTTATTTGTTCAAGCCAAGAATCAAGTCTTTAATGTTTTTTACCGTCCACATTATATTGCAAATTCCGAAAACAATTTAAAACAAATTCATTATTATTTTGCTGGTTTTCCAGATATTGACCAATTTATACGTAATTCCTTAAATTTCAACGTTAACTTTTTTAGGCTTCTGGCTCTTCCACTGTCATTTTCTATTCCACATTGTTATTGGTATGAATTTGATTTTGCAGGTCGGCACTAACGCTGATCTGCCACCCGTGCCACCAGGTTTCCCAACATGTGGCGACCACACTCCACCCATTCCAATAAACTAAGACTAAATCGGGACGACACACCCTTAAACGATGCCTCATGGCAAAACAATTGAAAATGAACAAAACATTTTCTTAGAAGCTAAAAAGACCAACATACTGATTGAACAGTTTGTAAAAAGCTTGCCCATTCACAATATTTTTTTAACAAGATTGTATATACTCTTTTTAAAATAGCACATCGCACAGATTTCCTTTCCAGTAATGAAAATACTGCCAGTTGTATATTATTAACAATATTCCGAGGAGTATTGATTCTTTATCTCCTGTTTTAACCAGAAACCTACTGTCAAATGTATATATAGTAATATATGTGTATTTGTAGGAACTAAAAATGCAATACATTAACTTATTTTATGAAAAACCCTTTACTTTTTACTTTAATGTTTGAAATGACTGCAAGCAAATTTACCTATATTTTCCGCAAAAGAATTTCAGTATATTTTAATCTATTAGCATTTTCATTGTTTAATGTCTTCATGTAGAATTATTAACAAATGTGTGCAGTTGTGTTCAAAATAACAGCAGTAGGACAATGTTCAATAACACTTGCAACATCAAAAATGTACCTCAATGGATGCTATATTTTTGAATTCGTTACGAATACCCAAGTTAAACTGCATTTTCCTAAAAGTTGTCCGACATTTCTTATCCAGTTAGTCTAATAGTACAATGAATACAATGTTACAATGAAAAGATAAATTACAACAAGAAAATATTAAAAACACAGGGCGGCAACACTACTACTATTTTTACCGCAGCTGTATGCTTTTTGACTATGTTTTCTAGAATTTGTTACACCCTTAAAAAAAATCCTAAAATTATTCGTAATTATTCGTAACGAATTCAAAAATATAGCATCCATCGAGGTAAATTTAAAATAAATTTTTGTATACTTTCTGTACAATACAAAGATATTAAAAAAATATTTGTTCTTCTTAAAAAATATAGATCATTAACATTTTCAAGTATTAGGAGCAGTATAAAGAAAATTAATTTTTTTTCAACAAGCTTTTTATACGCCTTTTTGATTGCATATTATTATTGTTTAAACAAGGATTGACACCAGCCAAGGAAAAATAATCATTTTTTAAAGTTCTTTCTGTATAAAGGAGGAAATTCAAGCAAAACTGAAGAAAACTGTAATACTGTAAAAGCGTTAGGGAACAAAATCAATCCATTATTACTGCTTCTAATAATGTCAAGCTAAATAACCGTCAACGTATTGCGGTGATCCTGCCAAATCTATGGCAAAGTTAAGAAAGTTTTAGTTGTGTATTTTGTCAAATGGCATTACTTACTATTAGCGCTTCTCCACGCCCGAACTCTTAGTTCGGACCTGTACTAGCAACCATTTGATCGTCAGACAGCAGTTTCTATCAATTCTATTTCTATCTGCGCACCCTTAGGTATTTTACCCCAAAACTGTAAATTAATTTACACAAGCTTAACACATATTGCCTATGTTTTATTTAGTATATATAAAAACATATATACACAGAGAAAAAAACGGAATAATATGGAACTGATATTGTTTCATATCAATTTTTCCTTAACAAAATGGAATGTTTTCATATCAATATGGTACAAAATCATATGTTCGGAAATATCATTTTGATATGAAAACAGATGGGACCAAAATTGATATGAAACAAGAGAGAACGCTATAGTCGGGTTGGTGTCCCGACTATTTAATACCCGTCACTCAGCTAAAGGAAGTGCAAACGCTGTACTCGGGTTCGTGTCCCGACTATAAGCGTAGCTCAGCTAAAGGGAGTGCGAGGGAGATAGATATATGTAGATATTTTGATTGCGTATAACTTTTTAATGAATGGTCCGATTTGAAAAATGTCTTCTACATTTCGATAGGTATAAATATACACAACAAAATTGCATTTATACTTCTCGAAAATCTTTAAAGGTGTGGGCGCAGGACACATTTTAAAATACTTAGTGGGCGATTGTGGGCGTTAGAGGGGGCGTGGCGCTCATCTGAAATAAACTTGCGCTGCGTAGGAGGCCCAAGAATATGTGTGGAAAATCTCAACCTTCTAGCTTTTGTAGTTCCCGAGATCTCAGCGTTCATACAGACGGACAGACGGACATGGCTAGATCGACTCGGCTAGTGACCCTGATCAAGAATATATATACTTTATAGGGTCGGAAACGCTTCCTTCTACCTGTTACATACTTTTACACGAATCTAATATACCCTTTTACTCTACGAGTAACGGGTATAAAAATCTGTCTGTCTGTATGAACGCTGAGATCTCGGCAGCTATAAAACCTAGAAGACTGACATTTTGCATGCAGATTCTAGGAGTTCCTACGCAGCGCAAGTTTGATTCAAAAGGGTGTCACGCCCCCTCTAACGCCCACAATCGCTTATATACGATTTTAAAAATTTCAATATTTCGGAAAAGTAAAAATTCAGTTTTATTGTGTTTTCAAAATACCTATCGAAATGTAGAAGAAATTTTTTAAATCGGTCAATTCGTTAAATGGTCCATCTCCTTCGCACTCCCTTTAGCTGAGTAACGGGTATCTGATAGTCGGGGCACCCGACTATAGCGTTCTCTCTTGTTTTTGGTATTTTTTATCTCTGTGTACCAACTTTGTGCTACTCCCAATGCATTCTCTTATAATCATTTTTTCCCGAAAATTGTATTGTGACATAAACAGATTTTCTTTTACTTAAAAGGGCATAGCCTTTAAAACAATTTGAAATAATTGATTCATAAGATTTCCAAATCTTAAATTCTAGTAACAGTAAAAATCTTATGCCTAAAAATACGGGGTGTTGCGAGGACTGGATGATCTCTACATACGATAACAAATAATAATTCAAATATTGAAAAGATATTTAATTACAACATTTTAATTCATTAAAATTGTATCAATATAATTTACTATCAAACGTTTTTAAAAAGTTTGCTGAAATCAGTCATCAGAACTTTCATTCAATAAGTCATTAGCAGAGCTGTGAGTTCTAATAAATTTTTAGCGCCTCGAATAGCCCCTTTTGTCGTTCAAAGATAGCTAACATTTTTAGTAACTAATCTCCGGAACATTTAATGGTATGGGTTGGAGACGACCCATGGCACATTAAGGCCCAGCAGTTGTCGAACTTAAATACAACATTTAAATAAAAATGTATATAAATCTAGCTATTTTTAGTGTTGGTTAAATGGAGAAATGTGCAAGGATCTATAAAAGAAAATGATTATTCCATAAAACGGAAATAAATGTATTTTACGTATCGCTTAAGAATACAATTCTAACTTTTAACTTGCATTGCGAAGCTTATACTAAACCGAAAATAATAATTTAAACAGATTTTGTAGAAGAATTGACGTAATATTACATATTTTTCTGAATTAATTTATAGTTCGGTGATAAAATACCTCAAGGGCCGCATTTCATGAAATTTAAATTTTTTTTTGCTAACAGGGACGAAGACATATTAGGGAATTACATTTAGACTTGCATTAATTTATTGAGCACATTTAGTGAAAAATAAAAAAGAACTATTTTTACTACAATTACTAAAACATTTTTCTTAAATTTGTATAAAATTGAAATTACTACTTTTACTTTGAGCACAATTTTGTTAAATTTCTCAACCTTTGATGCTAGACGTGTAATAGTTAATGAAACACTGAATATTATATATGTATTCTTTTGCAAGTCCGATTAAAGTAGGAAAAGGATTTTACCTTACAAAACAAAGAGAAACATTTGTCGATTTCAAACGGGCTGTCGGGAACCAGAGCATCTGGTTTTTAATACGACCCCACAACTAAATCGTTGATACGCCACTGCATGCCAGTATACATTTAATGATGCTATCTTGAAGTGCAATCCTGGTAATACCCATATTGTTGAAATGTTTTTTTGTAATCTAAATTTGTTTATCAAGATGCATTTATGAATTATGTTTATTCAATTTGAAAAAAAAATATTCCTAAAATTAATGCTTAAACTTATCTTATAACACACATAGGTCGATTAAATTCCATATTCCAGCTGGTAACAGTCAAACACACATAAATCGCTAGCTGCAATTAACAATAAAGATTTCAAGCTCGGAATACATATGTTAATACTCCTATGCTAAAATTGCACTCTGAAATGATAATTTACTTCATAAACAAAATGTTATTTTCAAATATAGTTATAAATATATATGTTTGTATATATGTACGTATATTCTCTAAACTAATTGAAATAAAATTTGCAATTGTATATAAATAAGATTCAAAGAATTTGAAAGCAATTGTTTATAAATGTATTTTTTGAATTTAGCATATCTATTAGAACTTAAATATGTGACCACTTTTCTCACGCGTGACAAGTATGCACCGATGTGTTCCTTAATTAATAAGAATATGATGATTCTAACAATGTCCCGTATTCACAGATTCTCAACCCTTTGGATGCTGTTTGTGATCGTAAACGGCCAGATGCGGTTTGCGTTTCAAATTTAAAGAATGCTAAAAAGGTCGACAGAGGTGTTTTGGTTGAACGCCCTGATGTGAAAATCTTTTTGCCTTTCAGATTTTATGTGTATGAACCGAAAACTCTTTTCATACCAAATACATACAACAGATTTTTAGGTATGTGCATTTTAATTGCTAACGAAAATACTAAACCTTTGATATGAGGCCTATACATTTGTGCACTTGTATTTAATATCAAAATGGGTATTAACCACACAACGACACCATCAAAACTTTCCTTTACTTATAGTTGTGCCTAGTGGGGATCATCTGACATCTTTGGTCGATGAAATATCATACATATCACCACCGGCACCCCCTCTTTCACAAATCGATGACATTCCGCCCGAATACTTCTGCAACGGAGACAATCGGCCGCCAAACTGTGGGCCAAACTGTGAATGTACACACATGGTTGACATACCACTTGGAGCTATTGTTGAAGTTGTGTTGGTCGATGAAGTGCAACAAGTGAATCTTAGTCATCCGTTTCATTTGCATGGTACCGCCTTCTATGTGGTAGGACTGGGTCGATCGCCGGATAAGTCAATACAAAAAATTAATCTCAAGCATGCTCTGGAATTGGACCGAATGGGCATGCTTGAGCGAGATTTTTCTAAGCCACCTCTTAAAGATACAATAGCCGTACCTAACAATGGATATGTTGTTATGCGGTTTCGAGCAGATAATCCAGGTTATTGGCTTTTCCATTGTCACTTCCTTTTCCATATCGTCATAGGCATGAACCTCATATTTCATATCGGAACGCCAGCTGACCTACCTCCAGTTCCGCCACGATTTCCTACATGTGGAGACCATGTGCCGCCAGTTACTTGGTACTAGTCCGCTGACATAGATATTTAATAAAGTAGTGTTAATTTTAGTTTAGGTATTATTTATTAACTTTTGATTAGTTAAATATATGAAATTGTATTCAACGTTGTCGCGTTTAAGGGTTAAAAGTACTGTATTATTTTACTACATGTTAAACTCTAACTCTGAAGCAATAAAATTTTCTTACAAACAGAAAACAATTATCAATAACACTTTACAATGCATACAATTTACAATTATATCATATTAATAATCTCAAATTTACAGTCGCTTCAGACGCTGATCACCTCATATCACTTATCGATGAGGTTTCGTACATTTCACCACCTTCTCCGATGCTGTCACAGTATAATGACATACCCCAAGAATACTACTGCAATGGGGATAATCGACCAGTAGATTGTGGCGAGAACTGTCAATGTACTCATAAGATTGATATACCTCTTAACGCAATAGTCGAA